CATGGCATGATGGTGCATGCCTATAGGTCCATCAGCTATCCTGGGAGGCTGACGTGGTGAAGGATGCGCTGTAAGCCAAGGAGAGGTTTTAGGCTACAGTGAGCTATGAGTCCAGCCTGGATGACAGGGAGGACCCTGTTGCAGAAAAAAAAAAAATGATAATTTTATTTGCGATAAACACACATGTATACATAATTGAGGGTTAGGTTCTTGATTGGCATGTGGATACACACGGTGTTATACATAATTGAGGGTTAGGGGCTGGATGGTCCTAGTTTTTTTTTTGAGACGGAAATCTTGCTCTGTCGCCCAGGCTGGAGTGCAGTGGCGCAATTCCGGCCACTGCAAGCTCCGCCTCCGCCGGGTTCACGCCATTCTCCTGCCTCAGCCCTCCGCGAGTAGCAGTGGACCACAGGCGCCCGGCCACCGCGGCCCGGCTAATTTTTTGTATTTTTAGTAGAGACGGGGTTTCACTGTGTAGCCAGGATGGTCTCGATCTCCTCGACCTTGTGATCCCGCCCGCCTCAGCCTCCCAAAGTGCCTGGGCATTACAGGTGGTGAGCCACACGCCGGGCCCCTATTTTTTTTTTTTGATGCACATGAAGAATGTTCCCTTTCATGCAGATTTTTTTTATAGCTCTTTCATTGGCTTTGGATTAAACCATCATTTCCTGAAGTCATTTGAATCTGTTGATTATTTCGTTCATTTGTAAACGTCCTATTACAATCCGTTCAGTACGATAAACTACTAAGAGTAAGGTGGGTGAACTATTTTGAAGTCCTGGTGACGTGTATCATGCAAAACTATTCCCCGAACTTTGCTTCCTCTGCTACTGGTGCTGAGAGTAGCAGGTCAGTGGTACCCTGGCAGCACTGGGCATTCTCGTGTTTGGTAATTGTTTCCGGATGCAGACAGTCGAAAAACCTGGTGCCTGCTTTCATATACGTTTTGGTGTCTCGCCGTAGAAGTCAGGACACTTACTTAGGCAGAGGGAGATGGATGAGCGGCCGTGTGGTGCTCCCATCCCGGAAGAGCTGTCCGTGTGCCTCTTGCATGAGTCTTAGGAATTTCATATTTTCCTTTATTATTTGTATGACTGTTGTGAGTTAGGGAATATTTTCGCATCCTTTACCAAGTATGCTGTCTTATGGACTTATTAGGCTTTAGAAACTAGGTTTGGAGAACTTTGCTATATAGTAGCAGTAATGAGTTAGAAAAGTATTATTGCAAAAGAGATCTCGGGGGCAGTGATGCAGTTGCTCACGCCTGTAGTTCCAGCACTTTGGGAGGCGAGGCAGGCGGATTCACTTGAGGTTTGAGGGTGAGGGAGTTTGAGCACCCCAGCGTTGGCCAGCATGGTGAAACCCCCGCCTCTACTAAAAATACAAAAATTTAGCAGGCCGTTACGGTGGTGTGTGCCTGCAATCCCAGCTACTCAGGGAGGCTGAGGCAAGAGAATCGCCTGAACGTCTGGGAGGCTGAAGTGCAGTCCAAGCTGAGATACAGCGCCACTGGGCATTCCACTGGTGATAGTGAGGACTTGTACGTCTCGACAATAAAAAAAAAAAAAGAAAAGAATCTTCCATTTCGAACGAATAAAGAAGAAAAGATGCCACCAAGTTCAGCAGGAATAATTCCTGGATATTAAAACACAGATAAGGTCAGTATGAATAAAAGTATACACACTCAAGGTATTGTGGAAAAGATCTAAATAATTAGACAATTTTATTCTTGTTCTGTAAAGATTTAATGGCGGGCGCGGGTGGCTCACGCTGTAATCCAGGACTTTGGGAGGCCGAATGCGGTGGATCACGAATGGTCAGGGAGCATTTGAGACCATCCTGCTGAAGTGAAACTCGCGTCTATCTGTAAAAACACAAAAACAGAATTCAGCCAGGCGTGGGTAGCAGGCGCCTGTAGTCCCAGCTACTCAGGGAGGCTCTGAAGCAGGGAGAATGGGCTTGTGAACCCAGGAGGCGGAGGTTGCAGTGAGCCAAGGATCGCACCACTGCACTCCAGCCTGGGCAGATCAGAGCAAGACTCTGTCTTGAAAACTAAAGGTAAATAAATAAAAAGGATTTACGTTCTCCCGTAAATTAAATCTGTAATATCCAGCTTGACTCCCTATCAAATTCAACACTCTATTGAAAATTTGGGGAATACAAACTAAAACTCAGATGAACGTCCCTACAAGACCATAAAACTGTGATCACTTGAACTGCATGATGGTTTTGTTCTTGTTTTGTTTTGTTTTTTTTGAGCACGGGAGTCTCGCTCTGTCGCCCAGGCTGGGAGTGCAGTGGCCCCGAGATCTCGGGCGTCAGCTGCAAGTGCTCCAGCCTCCCGGCGTTCACGTCCCATTCTGCCTGCTCAGCCTCCGTGTGAGCTATGGATACCAGGCGGCCTGCACCTCGCACCGGCTGAGTTGTTTTGTATTTTTTTTTAGTAGAGACAGGGTTTCACTGGTTAGGCTCATGATGGCTCGTCGATCTCCCTACCTGGTTGATCCACCCCGTCTCCGGGCTCCCAAAGTGCTAGGATTTACAGGCTTGAGCCATACTGCGCCGCTGGGCCTTTTGTTTTTGTTTTTTTTTAGACATTTAGTCTCACTCGTGTTGCCCAGGCTAGAGTGCGCAGTGGCAGCGAGTCTTGGCTTCG